GGAGCCGACTTATAATGCTTGCAATTGCTTTGTCCCAAATTCTAGTTGAGTTACAACGCTTGCAGTTGCATGTCTACTGGTGGACATGCTACTAAACCCGACAACTCCAATCCCAGTCCCAGCTTCAGTCGATTTGTGCTCATGTAGTAACAGTCGGACTACAACACTTGCAATTGCATGTCTAATGGTGGACATGCAATAGGACCGACAACCCCCTTCCCGCCTCCAATTGCAATCGTTACGATGCATGCTTGCATCTCTAGTGGCGGACATGTCATTGAGCCGACAACTCCCGACTCTACCCAATTGTAGTCATGTGTGAGGCCTTGTAGTTGTAGTCAGATTATAATGCTTGCAATTTCAAGTCTAGTGATGGGCATGCCACTGGCATCACAACCAACGTCCGATCCCAGTGGCAATCATGTGTGTGCCCATGTAGTTGCATTCGGTTACAACGCATGCAGTTGCATGTCTAGGGATGGAAATTCAACTGGCCCAACAACTCTCCACCGACCAAGTTGCAGTCAAATGCGTGCCCTTGCAGTTGCAGTCGGGTTACAACGCTTACGGTTGCACGTCTAGTGATGGTGATGCAACTGCCTCAACAACTCCCTATTGATCCAATTGCAGTCAACTGTGTGACCCTGCAATTGTAGTCGTGCTACAACACTTGTAGTTGCATGTCTAGTGATGAACATGCAATTGCCACGACAATCTCCTTCCCGGCCCCAGTTGTAGTCGCTTTGTGCCCATGCAGTTGTGATCCTATTTGTAAACTTGTAGTTGAGACCATTATAAAAACTTGCAGTTGGGATCTCTTTTAAAGACTTATAGTTCTAACCCTATTTAAGAACTTGCATCTGCAACCCCGAGTTAAAAACTTACAGTTACGACCCAATTATAATATTAAATTTAAAACCCGAGATAAAACCTTTGGCTACTTCAAAATTTTGGCTAAAAAGGCTTCTCGAAAAAATCACCCAAAAGAAGGGTTTGACTTTTGAGGCCATTAAAATAAAAATAATATGAAAAAAAATAACAATACTACAAGAGCAAGAAATAAAACATAAAATAACTCTTACAATTTATAGGTTGGCAATTGCTTGCAAAAAAGTTGAAAACGAAAATATATTTTTGACATAAGGAAAGGAAAAAGAAATAAAAAGGAAAAAGATGACAGCATAATAAAAAAGATGAAGTATTAGCAAACTGAAACGGTGGTTCGTTTGACTAATAAATGGATCTACCCACCTATCCCATCTCTTCACGAATGGACAAAAAAAAACACCGCTCAGCTAAGAAAAAAACCCTGATATGCACACTGAAAACAGTACAGAAAAGGAGAAGGCCCAGAAAAAAAAACACAAAACAGGCCACCTCACCTGCACAACTCGTGATTTGCCCACAAAAATAACCCGTGCAGGTCATGTTCAGCCATCCAACACATATCTATGCACGATTTAATCAAACAGTGGAAATCGTGAATGAGCCAAAATTATATCTCAGCTAGCTGAGTTTTAGCAATCCCATTGAAAAATACACATATTGACGATTATATAGTAATCATTGAATAAAAAATATGTTATTTCTCATGTTAGAAAAAAACTGTGATATAAGAAATCCAATGCATATTCACTAGATATT